TTCTTCATGTGTTCAATACTTTTTCCCTGTGCCATTCCACATTATTACAAATAACTTCATTACCAACATCTGGTGAAAATTTCATGTCATTAGCACCTCTAGTAATATATTTACTGAGAAAAATGGTGACGTGTTCAATACTTATTTTACCCGCTGTATATTGAACTTCCAGGGCTAAAAAAAAAGCTAGCTCAGCTTTGACTCTACTTAATATTCATTAAGTTCATACATCTTCCCACTTTGGTTTAACCTATGGGGAAAAAAACAGAATGAGAAAACCAGAATGCTGAAGGCCACACTATGGGTGGAAACGAAACAGCCTTAAATGTCACTGGTGAAAGACTGCTTGCAGATTCCCACTTTGTCATGTATATTTCTATAATGACTTCTTCTGCTTTGAGAGGTCTAGGCACACTCCAGAGGCACAATGCATGAAAGGCATTAGTTTCCACCATGAGCAAACAGTCTCTGAGGGGAACCAGAACCACAGCTTGGCTTTTTCAGTCCACCCTGATGATTAAATCCTGGCTGCTGAACCAAATCAAAAGCAATGGGATTGAAAGGAAGGAGATAAGTGCAGGGAGTAGAAACAGTAGAAATATGTCAGAAATTACTGGTCTTACACTTTCAACCTGGAGAACCTTACCACTTTCAACCTTACCAAATTTCCCTCTGTGATCAATAAAGTATTTTTGAATTTGAATTTGAATTGAACCTGGAGAGACTCACACAAAGACAGACTGAAATTACTGTTTGACATAAATGACAGAGTTTGGCGCTCGGACCCCGGCAGAGGAAGTGAGCGCTGTGAGATGCTGTAAGCTCAGATGAGCTGCTTAAGATAAGGGGTAGGAGTTCTCCCTTCCCCCGGGGCCCGACTCTGGTGGTGGAGGTCAAGGAGAGGGAAGTCCTTGGAAGCCAGAAGATGAAGGGAGGAGGAGAGGTGGAAGGTTGACGTTTAGCTGGCAAACAGACAGAGCGATTGAAGAGGATGCTTTTATCCACTCAAATGCTGACGGGATGAGGCTGGGCTTGTGACGCATTGGCTGGATGGAGCAGGTGAGGTTGATTAGTCTTCCAGGGTTGAACTTTTGTCTAGACTCCATTTGTCAATGACCATAGGGGAATTTAGAGAACCGAAGGTAAAATATTGAAAATAGAGAGGAAATGAAGAAAAACAAAGCTAGAGAGGTGAAAGGAGAAACAAGGGATGAAACAGAAATTATCTGATAGGAGTAGATACTGTTTATGCCAGGTTTTGTACAGAAACTGCTCTGACACTTCATCTCGAACCTGACAAACAGTACATCCTGAATGAACGGGCACAGAATGGTTTTAGCAGCATAACACTCAGCATTGTTTTCACTAACCCTGTTCCTGCATCAAAATGTTCTTTATACCTTTAACATATTCAAACATTAACATTCTGATGTGACAGCTTGTAAAAGCTTGTTTCTATAATAAAAAACCATTAAAAAAGGAGGTGAGGGGACTTTTCTGTTCTGTTTTCTGTCAAAGGGTCACTGACAGTGTTGTGTCTGCAACACGTGCTTGGAGCAATTCACACACCTCTGAGGCCAAGCTTGCTGCATGCTTCTGGACGGCGACTGGACTCCGCTTCTCAAAACGCCTCAGCTGCTCGTGGATCTGTCAGATAAGAAAAGTTTTATCAGAAGATTTATCTGCTATATAAAAGGCCGTGGCTGCTCCTTCAGCTACACATCAAATTACCCTTCTCAAGCTGAAGCTAAAAATAGTAAAAGTAGCAATAACTGCCAACCATCCATCCACCCTTCCATTTTCTTTATCCGCTTCTCCTTACCTGGTCAAAGGGAGCAAGTGTCTATCTACAGTAGGTCGCAAGTCCATCACAGAGACACATGGAGACAAACAATCATTCACACTCCCACTCAGGACAATTTAGAGTTTTCAGTTAATATAACATGCATGTTTTTCCGTCAGTGGGAGAAAACTGGAGCACAGGAGAAAACCCACAAGTAAAACAGGAGAACATGCAAACCCCACCTAGAGAGGTCGAAAGAGGAAATTTATGACTACGCTTTGTTCTGCCATACCACCTATAAGGACCTTCTTCAGCAATTCAGTTTTCATCAGAAAGAATTCCGACCCGCTTCACTTTTTCCATTTTGTCATGTTGCTTTGTGTTGCTACAATTGTTTAAATGATTTTTTTTACCGATAATGACAAAGTGAAAACAAAATTTTAGAACTTGTCACCTGGCCACACCGAGCATTCAAGGGTTAAGGGTTTTAGTGAGAGAGGTGCCCAAGAACTTGTTGACCACTCTTACTGAGCTTGAAAGAATATAAAATAATAATAAAACAAAGAGATGTCTTCCATGATGTAGTCTTATTGGAAATGGAAGTCTGACACGCTCCCAGTCCCTTTGGATGTAAAGTGGTTGAAGGACCTTTTATTTGCTTAAATCCACAACTAGCTCTTTGCCATGTTCAGGAGCAAGTTGTACCTGTAGGTTGTCTTTCCCCCTGCATAGATGAGCCCCACCACAGTGGTGTCATCTGCAAGCTTAATGACTGAGTTGCTGTTATCAGCAGGAGCACTGTTGTGCGAGTGGGCTGGTCTGTGACAATAAAAAGCAGTGGGCTCGGCACACATCCCTGCAGTGAACCGGTGCCAGTGGCCAGCCTGTGGAGCGGGATGGTGTGTGAGACGTGCTTAGCTCCCTTGGTGCTCCAAGTGGAACAGAGCAGTATGAAGGATAGCAGCAATAAGATCCTCAGTAGACCTGTCAGCCCTGTGGTTGAAGTTGAGGATCTTGGTGAACTAGCTGCTTTGCAGCAGCCAAAAGCACTGAATGATGATGGAACTGTAATAGTTAAAGACCGTGTAAAGTGAAATGTAACATTTTCTTTTTTAAACATTATAAATGTCATAAATGGATTGTTGTGAATGAGTACAAATTCTCTCAACTGCAGATATTTGAATAGTGGAGATATGATTAAATTGTGTAACAAGGTATCTGTGTTTCAGGATTTTTTGGGTGTGTTTTAAAGGGCAGCCTTGTGATGTCACGCAGCTGCCTTCAGTATAACCCCGCCCCCTGTTGCTCTAATGGAAAAGAAAACAAACATTGTTTCCTCGGTTACAGGAATGTTCAGGGTCGTGGGCGTGGTTTAAGCCCCTCCAGCGGACACGTCCAGACCACAGCTAACTGATATTTTTGATTACTTTTAACACATTTTTATAAGGTTAACAGTACTTTTAATTGTTCAAACTTGGCTGGGTGATTTTTAATAAATATTCCTATGATGTGACAACCTCAGAACACACATTTATTTTTACTTTACGCTGTCTTTGAATGTTTAATGTAATACAATTGTACAAAATTGTATCAAATTCTGTTTTCACTTTGTCATTTTGGGGTGCTAATTGTAGTGAATGATTGTACCCTCAGGCTCTAACGACAAACTCAAGAGTGAAGAGTGAATGAAAGGAATCCAGTTTTTAAAGTAAATGGTAAATTTTGCAAATGACTATAACTGTGACAATGTTTCACAACTGGAATGTAAATTTAAAAATAGTTTAAAAATGTCCATTTTAATGTTTTTAAATTTGACCTTTTTGTTTAAAGCACTTTGAGCTGCAGTAACTTGTGCACAAAGTGATCTAAAAACAATTTATTTATTTATTTATTTATTTATTTATTTCCTGATGTCAGAAAATAATAACTAGTAAAGTTGTGACTTGAAATGAGTGACATCCATCACAAACATCACCTTAAAAAGTAGCTGAAGCTTCTTCTCCATCAACATGCTGTGAAGGAACCTGTAGTCCTCCTCCCTGTCGCTGAGAGGTTCTGGTTCAGACATCACCAATTAGAACAGTCTGCAGACGTCTGTGTAAACATTAAATACAGTTTTAAAATGTAACTTTTGATGATATTTCACCAAAAAAAAGAAAAGAAAAGAAAAACACATTCCACTGGTATATGTTTCTGTCGCTGTCATTAAAGAAGATTCTAAATTATGTTTCATGAACTCTACATTTATTGTATAATATTGTATTTATTTGAAATTATTACTAGTTTATTTCCTCTAGAACAACATTTTTGAACATATAGTAAAAAAAAGTCCAGTAGTTTGATTGCTTTCGTTTTTCTTTCTTTCTTTCTTTTTTTTTGGAATTAATTTGATCCAGTCAATATCACCCCCCCACCAACAAACCTTTTTTTAAGGACATCATTTGACACAATAGAAATAAATTGGTTAAGTCCACAGCTGCGACTCATTGTGTTTAGGTAGCTTTGACCTGATTTCAACATTTACATCCCATATGTACATTTAAACATAACTGCTGAAAATGACATGCAGGGTTTTAGTCTGCATTAGATGTTATGGCTGGATTTGTTGAATCATGTAATTTTTTTCTAGTTAAACTGTAGTGCACCAGGTAAATCTTGGAAAATTGAAAAAATTAGGTATTACCATTAGGTTCTTTAATGCTTCCTAAAAATGTAAAATATTTGTTACTGTTGGAATAAATTGGGGGAGGGGTAATTTAATTGTTGAACTGAAGTGAAACTGGAGTGGAGAGTAAATACAAAGAAAACAGGAAGGTTAAGTAAATCACAGTAAAAGAATTACAATGTATTTTAACCCTAAAATACCCTGAATCGTTTTGCAAAAGTAAATGATCTAATGAATAAATAAATATGCAGAGAGTATAGCCCCCCGACCTAAAGTTACACCCTTGGTTTGATCAATAATGAAGATTAGGTAAAGACTGTGGAAACCCATTTATCTGGTATAGGACCAGCATGCAATGGGGTTGGCCTATGTATTTTACCAAAGCAAAATGAGTGATAGGAAGTACCAATGTTCACTTATTTATTTGTTTGTTTGTTTGTTTGTTTGTTTGTTTATTTATTTATTTATGTACCTTTAGTTCTCCAAGCAACTTGTTTGTTGCTTGGTGAACTGGAAGGAACCACCATCAAAGGAAATCGTTTGGTTTGGTTGGATGTCTTTTCACCAGCATCGAAAAACATCTATAGTATAT